AGGTCGCGCAGACACTCGGTGTTGTTCCCAAAAGTCGTGAGAACTTGAGCAGTGGACGTGCTCACTTGCTGGTCATACAGGGTGGATCGATGCTGAAGCATCTTTTCCATCGTGACGGCTTCAGACGAAAACTCGGCGACCGTGCTCGGAGGGCTCCGTACAAGGCCAGCGAAAAGCTGCTCCTTAACTCCCCGCATCAGGTGACGCAACTTCTTTTCCTCTGTCATACCTGGATCAGCCCGTCGGAACAGGCGCGTCATATCTTCCACATAGGTCATGACAGTTTCGTTGGGCATCTGGATGCGGGCCTGGATCGCTCGCTCCGCTCGTTCGTGGCGATCAGCACTTCTGTAAGTGTCCAACAGCCGGCGGCGTAATTCGGGCCACGATGTCATCTGTTCCTCGTGATTCATGTACCAGGTACGTGCTCCATCCTCCAAATAGAAGTACACACGCCGTAGTTTGGCCGCGTCGTTCCAGTCGTTCAAAGCAGCCACGCGTTCGAAGTCGACACACCAGTCCTCGACGTCTTCGAGCTCGGTGCCATGAAACGGTGTCGGAACCTGTGGACTTTCGAGGGTGTACCGAGTCACCGGGGGGTTTCCCGTTCCTGTTAAAGTGGTTTGAACGGACGTGCTCATCATACTGGTGTGAACTGTAGGGTCAGCTTCGGGTGGCAATCCCCTGATCCTGCGGCTTGTCCGATGAACGGGAGTGGGGACTCGCACTGGGCTTGTGGTGCTGCTTCCAGGAGGGGTCTGAAATATCCGTGAGGGGCTACCCAGCACCTCCACCGATTGTCACGTCGCTCCAGGGGATGTCGACAAGGTCTATTGATGTCCGAGCAACAGGGCTCTAACCAAGCGTGTCGGTTGGGCTTGTTTTCTAGAGCGGGGGTCCACGCGCACTTCTTTCTTCTTCGTGGTGTGAGCCTTCACCTTGGCATACGACCCACTACTAGAAGTAGGTGGCAATATGAGGGTACAACTGCTGAACATTACACCTACTGCGGAGTACCTCAGGAAGGTGTTTTAAGCCCCACATTGTTCAAGGTTGCCCTCATTGGTCTGGTGAAGGTTCTGCCAAAGTCGGTGTGCCTATCCATATACGCCGATGATATTTGCCTCTGGAGTGCTGCAGTTACTCGCCCTCAGGTGCGTGCACGAACACAGTGGGCAGCAACCCTCACAACAGTCTACCTTCAGAAACAAGGCCTAACTATATCAACTGTGAAGTGCGCGTTGATGGCGTTTAAACGCAAACCAATGACGACATACCCTGTTTACATCAATGGACAGAGTGTCAAATATGCACGGACGCATCGTTTCCTGGGCATAATAATCAACAGAAGTCTTTTATGGAGCCCACATTGTGCGTACTTGAAGAAGAGACTGCTATCTATTGTGTATATAATGAAATTCATGTGCGGGAAAGCATGGGGAATTTCTGTGGCCTCCATGCTACAGCTGTACAGGGCCCTATTTCTGGGTCTATTGCGCTACAGCGTGCCGGTACTGACTAACACTTGCAAATCCAATACTCATTCATTGGAGAGTTTGCAGGGTCAGGCACTGGCCCGATGCACTTCTACTTATGCCACAATCATGCTTGCCAAAGACCATCCGGTCAGGACATATAGAGTTGTGGATTGCCTCAGAGCGCACATTCGACATGCTAGCCGTGTCCCCGACCACCACTTGGCCCTTCTACCCTCCAGAAGACCACGTGCTACGTTTTCAGACGTCATAGCCAAGCACCTAAACAGCATTCCATCAGGATATACGCCAGCTGCGAGATTGGCATGTCCTTTGTGGTGCCTCGACCAGCCGCAAGTACGTCTAGAAATTCCGGGAACCAAAAAGAAAAGCAATCACTCCAGAGTAGCATTGAAGCAAGCAGCACTGCAATTATTACATAAGTTGCACTTAGACCGAACGCAGATATACACTGATGGGTCCGTCTCGTTCAGCAGCTCATCAGGTGCCACTGTAATTCTGGCTGGAGCAATGACAATCAAGTTTAAGTTGTCGCATATGACTACATCTACAGCATCAGAGCTTGCTGCTATACGGGCTGCTTTACAATATCTTGTTCAAGAACGTCCAGGAAAATGGGTCATATTCTGTGGTTCGAAAGCAGCGCTTCAGAGTTTGCAGTCTGCCATGCGTAGGAGGAGTCATGACCAATTGGTACAAGAAATAAGACATTGCCATCATGAAGCTCTAGCACGAGGGCATGATATTATAAATCAATGGCTGCCTGGACATATCGGTATTACCGGAATTCAATTAGCCGATGATGCAGCCCGCTCAGCCCATGAAGGAACCCGTGTAGTCCCGATTCCTATATCAAGGAATGATGCAGCAAGACAACTTTACCAGCTGGCTCAAGATCTCACACGCACGTTCTGGTCGTCTACCAGCTTCCAAAGGTGTCAATTTTATGAACTGGATCCTTCGCTCAAGCTAAAGCTACCATCACAACTTTCCCGCTCCGATGCGACACTGTTATGCCGCCTTTGGTTGGGTGTTGCATTTACAAAGGTGTACTCCTTTCGCATTGGTGCGGCAGACACTCCTACATGCGACTACTGCGGAGCTGAAGAGACCATCGAACACGTCCTGTGCAGATGCGCTTGCTACGACACACAGCGATGCCAGCTCCGGATGGTTTTGAATCAACTTGACCCCGGACCATTTTGTGTGCAGAAGATACTAGGACCTTGGGCATCTGCCTCAGTTGAGCAGAAAGCAACTAAAGCACTGCTAATTTATCTAAAGTCAACAAACCTGAGCGACCACCTGTAGACTGTGTGTGCTCCCCGAGTGTGCTCGTGATTGTGTGTACCTTCTCATCTCTCTGCAACCTCTTTTCTCTCCTTTATCCCTTCCCCAGTGCAGGGTAGCAAACCGGACGTGCGTCTGGTTAACCTCCCTGCCTTTCCTTGCATCTTTATATCTCTCTCTCTCTCCATTCTATATTATTGCACAAATGGTTGTGCTTGCCACCTATCAAGGTTGTAGGCAGACATTTTTGGGGAGAGAGGCACCTTTTTATTTTTTTTTTGGGGGGGGGGGAATGCTTGACATAAGTTTTTCTCTCGATGATTTCGCGAAAAAATTTGGAGGAGAAGAGGGTGTAGGAAAGGCTCAGGCCCCGGTGAGCCACCCCGTGTCTACGCTAGTGCTGCCTGTTTATTTTCTGTCGCTCCTATTGTAACTCCTGCTATGTGTATTTATTCTGTATTTTTTTCTTCCTCCAGCTTGCTTGATTTTTCTGTCTCTTTCTGTTTTCATTCTCTCGCTTCATATGCTTTTTATTCTTTGTATTTGTTTCTATTAAAATAATTTTGTCTATTTTTATATAGGACACACTTATGTACAGTAAAACAGCTGTCTAGTATACGACACAAAAGCTAAAAAAATCTCTTTAGACACCAAACTCGTCTACTAAAATATTATAACTAGGAATCACAGTGTCGGCGAACGCAGATTAAGGCCCTCTGTACCGAGTGTCTGGGCGCTAATTTAGCGTGGGCTGGTTCAAGAAGTGGAGTATTTTTTATCTTCGATGCACGAGAGGCCCCTACCTTAACATCTACTGTGATATGCTATTCTATAAAACAGCACAAAACTAGCAGTAGGTAAACACAGTCACCCTATTATTATTATTTTTGCATGCTTCACAGAAAAAGATGTAACCTTTATTCTGTAGCATGGGGAGTCACTAGCCCACTGTTGAATCATCATACTTCTGGATATTTTTTTTTGGCATTGTTGGGAAGACCATAAGGGGAGCCGATAGTCAGACTCCTAAAAGACCAGAAGAGAATGGCGCCTCGTATCAGTGCGTGTAATTGCGTAGGCGTAATTGTGTCTAATTGCGTTTCCATTGATAACCCCTTCTAAACAATACTAAGAAGAAAAAAAGAAAAGCGTTTGCACAATACATTGCTCTTTCTTTGGCCCTTCACTGCCCTTTCCCGGCAAAGCCTCTCCATGGTCTCCCATTTTGTTCGCCTGGGCAAATAAGTAGCTAGGGTGCTGACAAGAAGGTCGCGGGTTTGATGCTGGCCGCAGATGTCGTGTTTCGATGAAAGCAAAATGGCAAAAGACGTTAAACTTCGTGATGTCAGTGAACGTTAATGAACAGCAGAAGGTCGAAATCTCTGGATCCCTCCACTTCCGCGTCTCTGAATATCATGTGATAATTTAGGGACACAAAACTGCCCATATTATGTTTATTATTATTCACCTTTTCATAAACGCCTCCCTGGGCGCCGCCACAGCCTTTCTTGGGCTGTGCAAATGAGTGCGTCCCCTCGAAAATGCACTGACAACGCTGCGCCCTTAGCCTTTCTACACCCACACACAGCCCATCATGGCGGTGTTTTTTTCCTTCCTGTGAAAAGGTGTATAAGGTTTCACATTCGCCAATCACGCGTGTCATGTCAGCGCAGCAGCGTATGCTGGCTGGCTTCAGTGCTGCTAGCCCCCCCCCCCCCACACTTCTTTTTTTCAGAAATAGGTTGCACTGAAGAAATAGGCAAACATCTATTGAGTTTCAAACGCACCATTTTGCCCGTTAACATGAATAACGCTCTGAAACTGCACTCCAAAGCAACATCTTAGAATAAATAGTTTACGTTCAGGAGCCGATATTGAAAATAGGCATTTAGCAGCACTCAGAGGAGTTTAGGCAAATGAGCCAAAAATAGGCATTTGTTGTCCCTCTAAACAGTACTAAAGCCTTTTATAACCTCTAACACATGCTGATCCATAAAAAAGAGGGTGATCGGAATGTAAGAGCAAAATAAGCATTTGCCTAAAATGCGGTTTCTGAAATTAAACGTAAAACTAATAATTAATAGTGCAAGGCTCTCTTCATTAGTGGACTCTTGTAATCAAAAGTCAATCGTCCATTGAGGAGTTTAAATTCTACCTCAGTCAATCATTACTAGTGTTGTGGTATGCTCATTCTAATAAAAGAACAATTTGCAGGTATAGCCAGTTGTTTGATGCAGAAGTCCGTCAAAGCCGAAGTATGCCTCCTGTGCTGCGAATAAAAAGCAGAGACGGTAAGCTCAATATTCTTAGTTGTTCGACTCGGGTGGTGTAACCTAGTCATCATTCCTTCGTAATGCTAGCAAGAAATAAAAAATGCAAGTGGTTGAAGGTCTTCTTCAGCACTAAACATTGTACGATACATATTACACTTATCGCAAAAAAACAATATCTGCTCTCTCGTAGTAGCGAGAACATAAAAGAGTGAAATGAAGAGCTGTGATGCAGATGCTTCGACATTATCCCAGCCCCACACGTACCCGTTGAATGAATGCTGTGCATTTTTAGGGGTGAAGCTTCTTAGAGCGTGGGTTGCTCCGACGTCCATCATAGAAGCCACCCCTTTTTCTCCCAATGGCGAAACAGAGTGGCGGGCGTGTTGAACACGCTTGCGCTTGACTTATTTGGCTCACGTCTCGTCGGTAGCGTTGGGGTGCTTGCTGCGTCCGTCGTAGGCACCTGTAGTACCCCAGGTGGTCGAAGTTTTTCAAGTTCTCCACTACGGCGCCTATCATAATCATATAGTGGTTTTAGGACGCTAAACCCCCATATCATATCAGTCTTAGTCGTCGTAGTGGTAAATGCACAGCATGTCAATAAAAAAGTGTCACAGCATATCCACGGAGGGAATGATGCTGAGGGGGGTGAAGTGACCATTCATGCGTCTTTACATGGGTCCGTACGCCACCCGTTCATCTGTGCGTCCATCCGTACGCCCGTCCGTGCGTTCATCCGTCCATGTGTCCATCCGTGCGTGTGTCCGCACGTTCGTGCATCAGTCTTTCCGTGCTTCCATCTGTCCATCCGTCCATGCGTCCATTCGTGCGTGCGTCCATCCGTCCATGCGTCAGTTCGTGCGTCCGTCCGTTCTTCCGTCCATCCGTCCGTCTACTTTGCCCCACTCGTCATGATTCACTTCGTGGATACGCTGGGATTTTGAGAGCAAGCTACACGACACCATAAGGCGTGATTGCTGCCAATGTGTGGTAAAAAGCCTAGCAGTATGACGGTATATATGTTGGACTAGTAGGTTGGGATTCCTCAAAACTTGTTTACAGCGCAACAGTGGAAACACAGACTTAAAGAAGTAAGTAGCAAAAGAGTAAGAAAAGACTGGCACCTGACTTTCAAATGATTTTTATTCAAAATTGAATTGTGGCGCATATATGCAGTAAGTGTACAAAACCGTAACATGCGAAGAAACATAATTTCTTGGGCCACTTGATTAATGGATGTATGGCGACTCTGCCAGGAATATTTCCTGCATCTTGCAAGACGCAGGAAATATTCCGGCAGCGTGGTCGTACATCCGTTTTATCAAGATCAGCACAAGTAATCAAACTCCTTCTCGTGCAGAATAAACGGATGGCCCACAAATAGTGCTCTTACGCCTAATCAATTTGTTATAAGCCCCAGCAGCTTCCCTTGTCGATCGATTGGCGTGTTTAAAAATGATGGTGGTTTTATTAAATATACGAGGACACCTACATGACTTGCAGTGAACCTTCAAGGAGATGCGCATTCTTCATCTGCCGGTTCACTGTAGATAATGTGGGTGTCCTCTTATATTTAACAAAACCACCATCATTTTAAAACACCCGAATCAATCGACAAGGCAAATTGCTGAGGCGTATAAAATATCGATTAGGGGTAATAGCTGTATTAGTGAGGCATCCGTTCTTCTGCCCGAGAAGAATTTGGTTACTTGTGCCAATCTTGATTGTATGTATGAGTGACGACCCTGCCGGAATATTTCCTTTGTCTGTCGCACGTCATAGTTTTGTACACTCAATGTATATATGTGCCACAATTCAATTTTCAATGAAAATCAGTTGAAAGTCAGCGCTGTCCTTTTTTCCTCTTTTGCTTCTTCCTGTGTGCATGTTTCCGTTATTGCGCTGTAATCAAGCTCAAGATAAAAGCCTCGCCTTGCCTAGTGTGTACGGCAACGACGCGGCTATAAATTTACAGTTGCATTGAAGCTGCTTTGAAGTGAAGCTCCTTGTAAGTCCCCTCTTGGTTAAACCGCATAGCCGTGCCGCCCGCTGCAGCGTGGTGATGCAGCTTCGTATCATCTCTCCAAGGATGTGGCGCAAAGCGCCCAAAGCCAAAATTACGGAGAACCGCTGATGAACGATCACAAGCAACCCTGTTACAGCTCGAAAAAAACAAAACAAAGGTGGCTAATAAGTGCATGGTACCAATCACGTGCAAGGTGTGTTATATCCAAGGAGGTTCTATAGAACCTCTGAAGTGGCAGTCCTGGCCGCCGCCAACGCGAGCAGGTGAAACCGCCGGCGGCCATATTGCTAGAGGAAAAAAAAATGGCCCTGGATCTGCAAGGTACATTTCAAATGCCGTTGAAAGACGATAGTCTTGCGTCTGGAGAGAGTGAACAAAAAATTGATTTGCTGTTCTGCGCACGAAAATCGGTGAATATTATTCTGTAGGCGCTGCGTTAGAGTGCCTCGAGCGTGCTGCGCCGGGCGAACGAGCGCATCGAGGCACGTTAGCCACGAGCGCCATCTGGCAGTTATCTTCGAAAACGATGGTAAGCCTGCGCGCCTGCGCAGAAAGATGCAAGCTATTCTTGGAGGCGATAAGGTGTAGAAAGGAAAGCAATGGACAGGTGCCACCACCGTGTCGTTTTAGCCAAGTGTTGGTAACACTTGCCTTTTTGAGCACCACGTCGCACTGTCAGCACAGCGTGTTTAACGCTACGGCCCTTACAATCACTTGTGTGTGCCTTCTCTAGTACAAAGGCACATATACAAAACATCAACGTGTTGTAATGGTACCTCAGATATGCGCAATGATTGCTTTTTAACTGACAATCCCACAGGTATGAACGCTGGACCCTGAGCAATATTGGTGGGCGCTGCGGATAGGGTCGGCCGCTTGATGTATCGTTAAGGGCGGAATGCAGACAACTGTACAGACAGACAGACAGACAGACAGACAGACAGACAGACAGACAGACAGACAGACAGACAGACAGACAGACCAAAAGTTTTCTGTCGAACGTCCCCAAGAAAGACTATGTTATTTAAAACAGGGAGGGACCGCCATATACCGCAGTGAAATACGTGCGTTACGCGCGCCGGTTTGCAGTTCCACGCTAAAAAAATAAGATGGAAACTACTTACTACTTTTAGGTTACACCAACAAATAAATGCCTCTTCTTGTTTATGAAACGAGTTATGTTATGCACCCATTGCTAGTTGCACGCTGTCAGATCAATGTGTTGCCGAGGGATGCTTCGCATATCGAGCTTGCTGGTGCACCATCATGGTACGAAAGGGTTGTAGTATTTGTTGGGTGTTTTAAGAAGTGTGCCTGCAGATACTCGAGATCTAGGCGAACGTGACATTTGCTCGCATCTTTCATATATGTGCTTGTGTGTGTGTCGGCAGATTACCAGAGAATAAATAAGGAAGTTAAAATAATTAAAGCTAAAGTTTGAAAAAAGGAAATTAAGTAAACCGAGAGTCACCAGATTTTTTCTAGAGTTATCGAATTCTAACCAATTTACAGGTGCAACCAAAACCGAACCACCGATGTCGCGTGCAACCGACAAACTCCAAGAGATGTACTCCGAATGAACAGTTTATAAGAAGGACTGCAGTGGTGTTACTTCTGCATAATATTTATCAACTTCCGTTGGCGACGTGTGTTGTCATGGCAAGCGGGGCCTTCAGAGCTTAGATATGAGATAGCCCGATGTTTCATACAACACCACTCACTCAATTTGGCGATTCTTCTATCGGCGTTCTGGTTTCGGTTTCGTTGGCAAGATAGAACGGATTTCAAAGGTGTTTCACCTTGTTTTAGATGCAATTGCTTATTTTCATGACTACACTCTAATAAAGCTTGGTCAAGAAGGTAGAAACTAACAGGTGTTTGCAGATAGGCTCGGGAAGGAGGAAAAATTGAAGGTGCCCTGCCAGGCCGCAGTCTGGTTGTCTGTCCCGTTCTCTCGAAGCAGCATTCTTCGAAGTGGATGGAACAGAGGTGGTCACCGTCCGTAGTCTTCCAAATAATTCTTCGAACAGCACGTTCCCAGGCAGAACGCAGCGCACTGTATTTCTTACACATGTAACACGAATAATCACGGCATAAAATATTCTCAACGTTTGTGAATTCCTCGATAAACATTCACCAAACTCAATATTTACTCGGCAAAAAAAATATGCAGGCACGCCGTCAGTATTGTCTGGTAAGACAACACCAGGAAACTTCAAGGGGCATTCACACGTCCTACTCGTTCCAATGTTTGATACGTGCAACCATGGATCGCAAGTCCTTCGTCCATAAACTTAAATTTGAGAGGCAACGTCGTATCAGCGAACATTTAAAGCTTCAAGTTACATTCCATTCAGCTATACGCATCTATTACACGCGTGCGCACGTTTGATATTGTTCTTGAATTAACAGCATACGCGAAAAAACAGGCGATCGTCAGCGAACAAGCGAGAATACATACACGTGGAAGTTATCCCAGGCTTCTTCTTGATGCAATTTGTGCAGCCTTAAGCGATGCACGAAGTAAACATGGCCTTCTAATATCTTTACCTGCTTTACAAAAGCATGTCACAGTCTGCAAAGGCCACTGCGAGGGCGGCGCTACGAAGCGCACTTTGTCGTCTGCTTCCGAGTCTTTCCTTTTCCAATATGGCGGCAACCGGCGTCACTGTCGGGGCGCACCTGCACTCCAGAAGACATAGTATAGAACCACCTCGGTTATGTCTGCTTTGGGAAGTTTTCAATTCAAAATGAAAACTAAACCTCCAGCGTCCAAGAATCCGCAACTTGAGAAATATTGTCAACAGCGCAAGAAAAAAGTCAGAACCTAAATAGCGATTTGGACGCAATATTTTTTACTTGTTTGGGCAGTAAATACCGCATCTAGTGTGGTACTGTAAAAATGGATGATACTGATACCCAGAGACCACCTTTACCTGGGATTGACTATTGACCCAAACGTCCTTGTTTGAGCGCCGCAATAACTGCGTGG